GCACTCTCTCTCTCAGGTGGTGGGAGTCTGCTCACCTGTGTGTATATGCACGTATCTGTACGCGCACATCGGGGCGGAACTCCGCCATGCGTGATACAGAGAGCAGAGGAGAATTATAAACTCGCGTCTTTCTGAAGTAAATAAAAATGCAAGCCACTTTACATAAAATCCGTTTAACGCAGTTTTGTTAAGTATATCTCAACTTTCAAGAATGGCTCAGTGGGGCCATCCTGCAGTATATACAAAGGAAGATGAAGCCAGGTCACGTTGTTGAAGACCAGAGACACCGTGGATGAAATTGCTTCAATCTTCAGAGGAGTCTGCGAGCATGAAGCTGCTATCTTAAGACTATACTTTCAGGGATCATTTCTGTAGTTTCTGACTGGAGAAATGCATTATGAAAGTGTTTGGTCATGCTGGCCACGATGAGGAAGTATGGCATTCTCTTCTGAGCATGAAGCAGTTAAAGAACATGGGAATTTTTCCATGGTTCTGTGACTTTGATGATTGTGCCGGAATCTCTATGGAGAAGCTAGTGGAAGAGAATGCTGTCTGAGGGGTTAGTACTTTCACTTTAGTTCTAGAGTGCATGGCTTTTTCTTGTCTAAGTTCACTATTCATGAGGAAGCGTGCCAGCGTGCCAAAGAGTAAAAAAATAATCCAAACGCCTTGTAATAGAATGTGGAAAGACATTACATGCATCCGCTAACTCAGACCAAATCTTCAGGCCACCATCTTTGTTTTTCAGTTGGAAGCGTGCGCAACAGGTCATGAAGTGCCCAGTTTTACCTTTTACATTTCCTTGAGCTCTCTACGGTATCATACGAGTCTTTTTCACCCCACTCTGCAATTACGTTTCTTTTTAAATTTCAGCCTTAATTTCAGCCTGTTTGAGACACCATACTTCATAAATCACTCTTAGACTTTTGCAGTGGTGTTTGCCTTCTGATACTAAGTCAAGAAAGCCTGAATGAATTTTCTATAGATATTAGTCACTACTTGTACATTTTCTCAACCATCAGAAGCTGGTAAAATCCACTGCCACCACTTTAAGTGGCCTCGACATCAAAAATGCCTTGACAGGGGCATGAATCCTGGGCTGTGGTATTTTAGTAAAGATGCAATGCTGACACCTTTGAACCCATGCATCAACACACTCATTCATTCCAACCCAAGATCTCCTCTACCTTACCAAGTTCCCCATATACTCGACTCCCTGATGCCCCATAGCATGGTGGACACTCTCTAATACCTGCTCTTTGAAGCAAAGAGGCAAGATTAACTGCCAGCTCTCACCCTAGAAGGCCATCAGTGGCATGATACAGCAGTCTTTCTTTTTGCTGTATGCAACCCCATTGTTTCAGAAGCCTTATAATGGGTTTTGACAAGGCAGCCCTTTCCCTATGACTGGGTTCTTCTATTGTTCCCAAATTCTTCTAAATTCTTTTAGAGTGGGATCACTCTGTAGGACCTCCAAAAGCCAGGCAAAGTGGGCGTGTCGCCCTGAAGCTGCACAGGACTTTGCGCTCACTAGCAGGCATTTGTCTAAGATTGCAGCATTCAATACCTGCTGTGACTCAGTCAGGGTCCAAAGCAGTACCAACTTAAAAATGGCCACACAATCATCAAACTCTGTATCCAGGTCCACTTCAGGCTCCCCTGCAAACTCCTGCCTAGACAGCAGCTGCGGCCACATTATTATGATTACATTCTTCAGTCCACATTGATCTGAGAAGGTGACTGATCTTAGCTGATCTCCCCTCATAGAGACAGCAATTGACAAGGTCATGCAGGGGGCTGGTGATTCTAGAAAACTTATAAATGAATCTCCAACAGTAGCAATAGAATCCTAAAAAGACCTAAGCTCTCTGACATTACTGGGGACTTTCCACTCTTTACGATAAAAGATGAGATGACATGACATGAGACCTCATTGATCCCACACCAGGGAAATTTACTAGTTATAGCAGCCTGAAATATAATAGCAATAGAGAAAAAACAAACCAAAATATGACAAGATAGAAATAAGAAAGAAAAATTGCCCACACAATTACACATATTGCATAAATGACGTGAGTAAATGCATAGATGAATTATACATACACAGATAATGCACAGACTGCATATAAATATACAAGTTACATATACACTCACCTAAAGGATTATTAGGAATACCTGTTCAATTTCTCATTAATGCAATTATCTAATCAACCAATCACATGGCAGTTGCTTCAATGCATTTAGGGGTGTGGTCCTGGTCAAGACAATCT